CATTCGGGTAGAAGGTGAGTTTTAGTATCCAGAGTATTCAAAACTTCTTTGTCCACACGTTTCGCAGTTCTTTCACACTTCTTTAATCTGACTTAGGTCTGCCAACATTCGTCAAGCAACCAGAGGACAAGAACGTAACAATATAGTTTTACAAGTCTGGGGATTAGGCTAGTTTAGCATTAAGACTGTAAATTTTCCCAAAACACCACATTTTGCAGATTCTTATGACCATTGAAAGTGATCGGAAAAATAAGGGCAGCAAACATTTGCTTGACAGTATTTCAATTTTGAACCTTAACCAACAGGTCACGAGACACGCTGCATTTTGGTTTCTCTATGAACAAACAAACAGTTTAGAGTTAGGTTCTTAATTTGTTGAACAAATTTTTAGTTTTTTCTCTGTACACCACTACACTGTCATTATGTCATTATCAAACAATCCAGATGAGATTGAAGCGCAGACATCCAGTTTTAATTCTACTGCTTTTACCAAAAAAATTGCATTAACTAAGAATTCAAACCAGTTTTATACCCAGTCCATTTACAGAGGCTCTAGGCTTGTGGATGTCTTTTATTATTCAAATTTGTATTTAATAAGAGCAATCATGCTCTATTGTGTTGAGGTCAGGTGACTGACCTGCACATTGAAGAATATCCCATTTCTTTTGCTTGAGAAACTCTTGGATTGCTTTTCGTGTGCTTTGGACCTTCACTCCATTTGTAGTGTGATGAGCTCTCTGATCAGTTTTGCAGCATTTGAATCTGAGGAGAGACCATAATCCTTTAAACTTCACAGTTAATCCCACTACTATCAACAGTAGTGGGATTTTTGCTGAGAGTAGATTATTATATTCATATTTTAAAGACAGTATTATTTATGTAGCATAGTGGATGGCATTTGGGCGTTCTCTTTATCCAAATCTTTAATTTGCCTGCCCAAGTCTCTTCCTTCTGGCTAATTCAAAAGAGATAATAGCACCCCTTAAATAGGCCTTAAAGGCCTCCCAAAGTGTAGCAGGCTTAGTTTCTGAGTTGTCATTTACATCAAAATACAGAGAGATCCGTGTTTCGAAATATTCATGAAAATCCTATAGAGGGTTAAGCCAATCGAAGTTAAGCCTCCATGTTTGCTGTGGTCTAGTTGCATTTTGGATGTTTAAGGTTAATGTGACAGGGGAGTGGTCCGAGATGACAATATTGTGATATTTTGTGTCAATGACATACAGCATTAATTTGGCATCCAAAAGAAAGTAGTCACTTCTACTATATGAATTATGCCTAGTTGAAAAGAAAGAGTAATCCCTACCAGTGGGGTTTGCAATTCTCCAAACATCAGACACATTCGAATTATCAGTAAAAGTGTTAAGAAAAGCACTGGAGTTGTTCCTGACCTGCTTAGTTAAAGAAGACCTGTCAAGGTAGGGGTCCAACACACAATTAAAGTCATGGTTAAAATCTTCATTAAAATCTAAGACATGGTGCAGCACAAACCAGCACAAACGTAGCACAAACGTTTGACATCAA